TAGAGAAGCACCAGTCACGATACTAGACCGTGATTATACAATTGGGAACTACTGGCTGTTACTTGTATTCAGATGGCAACATACTCAAATACTGGTTCAAGCGTTTTGGAAACGCTGGCAGATTGAATACTTGTCCCGACTTAATTAGCGGCCTAAATAGTTAAAAAGAACACCTGTGTTTGAAGTTAGTGATGTAGTATTGCTAAAACATAAAAATTTGCCTCCTAGCAAGTGGGCTCTGGCACGGATAATTGAATAATATCCTGGACAAGACAACATTACACGGGTGTATAACGTGCTTTATAATGGTAATTTAACTCGGAGATCCATCTCAAATTAATATTTAAAAGATTAATATTTAATATCATAACTTTAAGTTGTATTCTTTGCATTAATTTCGGTAATTAAAATGTAAATGTTTGGGTATATTTTTTTAATTATTTTCTGTAACTCATTGGAGAAGCTGTTTCACATCTGTTACAAAGTTAGGTAAATTGGAGATCATTAATTGTAATTCTGCACATAATTCGTAAGGTTGAAAGTCACTGCTTTCACCCACTCGCTGGGCTGTGTGTAAATCTTGACAGTTATTTTAATATTTGACGGTTTGGAATATTTTATAACTTGTTTAAATCATAAAGGAAACCAAAATTTTCATAATGTGGGTTTAAAGCCATAAATCTCAAATCCATATTTGTTATAACTGAACAAGCATGGTGTTGTCAAAAATCTGTTTAATACCGACTTTTAGGAAACTGTATAGGTTAATCCTTGCCTTCATAATCCAACATATTTTTCTTTTTGGCTACTCTTTTATTTTTAAAGTCTTGGCAGATCATAACAGTTTTTTTCAATAAACTGTTAAATACCAGACAAGCATTTTTCGAAACAAGTTTGTCGATATTCTTTAATCCAGTCACAAAATGTACGTAAACGTTCCAGAGCTTTAATTTGTCTTCACCTATAGTGACAACCCTACCAAAATAGGTAACAATTTTGCAAGTTCATAAGAAGCTTTGTCTGTCGCGCTGTACGCACATGAGTAGATAAACGGTATCTACTCATGTGCGTACAGCGCGAAAATATACGTACAGCAACCACGTGTTCTGCTGTACCGCACTCTTTACTCGATTGCCACGCGCCCACGATTAAATAAAGTCAGTATTCTATGTCTTACAAACAGAACGGGGAATCCCCAGACTTTGTCGCCCCATAGATTACTGTATATATACTAGTCGCCCCGCAGCGGGGATTCCCCGCAATAGCAACGCAAATTAATGTTGTTAGACTGAATAAAAATATATTTAGTTATGTCAATAATATCGATTTATGACAACGAAATTTTTTCGGCGCGTTTACGGTTTTAAGTAATGCGTAAACCTCCAGGGCGCGAGGCCCCTTGGATCGCGAGGCCGTAGGCGGTGGCCCACATTGCCCACGCCCTACGCTGCCTCTGCAACCACATCAGCATTTTCATAAGAAGCCAAGTTAGATTTCTGTGTATTGTAAGACAAACAACTCCCACACACATCCCGTGACGATATGATAATAGTTTAGATTTATTTTACTTACATTAAATTTAATTCATTCTGTAACTATCAAAATAAAAAGAAGATCAGCGTGAAGTAGAAGCTCGGCTTCTGCGTTTCGTCTGATGAGTGCAGGTCGGAGGAACAATCCCCCCCCCCCCGTAATATGGTAGCGGAGGTAAAAACAACTCTACCCCAAGAGGGTACCAGCACCCCTGGTGACGGAGAATCCAGGCCCAAACTACCCCACTCTTTCTGACCGTAGATGCTCAGGCTGCTGCGTGTATTACGCGAAGGGGGTGGGGGGGGATAAATTCCGCTAAATCCGAAGTCGACCTTGCTCTTTCTAACCGACACACCAGTGTCCTCTCCGGCTGATACTTCGTATCTCTTTTACCCGAGGTACAAATTAGAACACTCTTTTGTACCCCAGACCTGAGTTTGCACGGACGTCAGAGAAGACATCTGTTTTCGAAGCCTCGGCAGCCTTGAAGGTACGGACTTGTCCATCTTATGGATGCGCGTAGACAGCGATGACCATTCCGGCGTCTACGGGTGCCTCTATAGGTCCCATATCGGTAATACCGATATAGAGCGACTCATCGAGACTCCACGTCCAGATATCTGCAGACTCCGTGCTACAACAGGCCTCATCTGCAAAGATGTGATCGTGATGCTCGGTGATTTTAACGCCAACTACGCTGAATAGCTTGGTTCTCGTTTAACCGATCATGCGGGTAGATCTGTTTATGACTTTGCTTTGACATATGGTCTGACACAACTGGTTACCTTGCCTACGCGGATCACAGATGTGGAAGATCATGTACCTTCAGTGTTGGACCTTTTGCTGACCTCTCATCCGGACGAATATAATGTCTCTGTCGATGTCTCTCTTGGCTCCTCGGACCATTGTCTGATCCGGAGTACGGAGCCACTCATGCTCCTATCGCGGTTGCGTTCTGCAGGTTACCGCTGTGTTTGTCATTATAGATCAGCCGATTAGGACCGGATATGATCTTTTTTGCATCCTACCCTTAGAGGCGGGTTTTCCTTCTCGCCAGAAGATCCCAGCGTAGTTGTTGATTCTGTCGCTGATGTGGTGCTACAGTGAATGGAACTTTTTATTCCAACATCTGTGGTTTCTGTCGGAGGCTAAACCCAGCCTTGGTTTGATCGCTTTTGCAAAATTGAATTACGCAATAAACCAGGCCTGTGGTCGCGCATCGACGTCTCGGGATGCAAATACCAGCGCTCTTAAAAAGAAGTATAATTCTACTTCCTAGTCCTTCAATGGTGTCAAAGTTCGAGCACATCGGCAGAACTGGCGAGAAACTAGTTCGTCTTCCTTCGGGAGCACGTGCATTCTGGTCTCTTACCAAGGCTGTCTAAGGAAACTTCTTCCAGTCATCAATCCCATCTCTGCACAGGGAGAACGACTCACTGGCCTATGCCGCAAAGGACAAAGTCGATCTACTGGGCTTTCCCTTCGTGTTCAACTCGACGCTTGATGACGGGGAGGGGAGGGGGGCGTTGTCGGCCTTTTCAAAAAGGAGTAGGCTCCTTTCTTGAAGTTCCCTAAGTCGTGTCGGTCCGGAAAACTCTCTGGTGGTAGTCGATTCCACAAGGAACTTGTACCAGGAAGAAAACTTCTTTTAAATTGCACAGTGGTGGACCGCCAATCATCCAGATGGTAGGAATGGTATCTCAAGTTTTGTCGTGATATGCAATGGTGAATTGTGCAGCTGTAATTTTTCCAAAAAATTCCACAGAGCACTCCCCGAGGTATATGCGATAAAATACGCAAAGAGATGCAACATATCTTCGAAGTGCCAGAGAATCGAACAGCTCTGCGCTGGATGCGTTCAAATGGAAATAGCTGACACTTAGGAGCCCCGGCCCAGAGATGGGAACAGTATATCGTGTGCGGCCGAACCTGCGCCTTGTAAAGTTGCAGGCGGTGAGCCGGCATGAAATACTGTCCCGCTCTACTGAGCACGCCAAGCTTTTTAGAGGCCAATTTGGCCTTCTCTTCCAAGTGACCACGGAACTGCACGTCACTCGATATGTCAACGACGAGGATTCCGATACTGGCTGAGGCAACAAGGGGAGCGCCTTGAAGCTGAGGAGATACAACGAAGGGGTGTTTTTAGCGGTAAACGCGCAAACTTGTGTCTTCTGGGGATTAAACTGGACTAGATTTAGTCGCCCCCAGTCCGAAACTTAGTTCAACTAAGTTTCGACTTCTGATACAAGTTTTTCCCGGTACTCTGCGACATTTTCCCGAGAAATAGATACTGGCACGGCCGGTATATAAAGCATCACCAGTGCTGTCGTCTGCATAGCAATGAATGTTACCGGTTTGCAATGGTAATCGCTACTAAGCTATTTATAATTTGTTTTGTGTTGTTAACTGTAATATACATGATTGTAAGCTATTATTTCAAAAAACTAGTGCCGCTGGGTTTCATGCTGGTGCTTCCCAGGACAGAGTTTTTTTTACGAACCAGTTTGTAAATGGAAAAAGTGACTTTCACTAAGTATTCTTTATAACCTATATAGAATAAAAAAGTTTCTGTTTCTGTTTCTGTTTTTGCAACAAGTCAAGGTGATAGCACGCAGTCTTGTGGAACACCAGCGTTAATGGGCTTGTAATCGGAGCATGCACCGCCTACTACGACCTTAATGCTCCGATCAGCAAGAAAAATGGTGATCCAATTGCACAGGAAGCTTCGTAAGAAGCGCTTTGTGCCAAATCCGATCGAAGGCCTTCGCTATGTTCAAACTAACGGCCAACGCCTCTCCTCCGCCCATTTATGATCCGCCCATTGAAGCACATGTTTTTATATAATTGTGTATGCATGTGTGTATTTACAGATGTATGTTTGTATGAATGTATATCATTTTGGAACGCTCTGTAGCCAAAATGGCTTGGTGGATTATATAATATATAACACAATACCGGTTGTCTTAAGATTCGTCTCAGGTGTAGAAGTGACATAGGGTACCTATAAGAAATTTCCCTTTTCAGGAAAATTATTACGACGTCGGGTTTTTTCAATTACTGTTTTAATCATTGGGCTTCCTTCAACGAGCATAATACTTTTCTGATCAATAAAACATTTATTAACCTCTCTCTCACAAGTTTGCATATACAAGCAGCCTCACTTCCACTTAAACATTTTTTCGAATTTAAAAATGCTATAAATACAGGTTGGGTAGTAGAGAAGTAAATGGTTTCTATATTGATTTTGACTTGGTGTGCATGCACCAATCTTTTATAACTGTTCTAAAGTCAATTGACTTTAGAACAGTTATATATAATTGGTGCTAATAAACGGTATATTTGGCTTTAATTTCATCGTCACTGCTTGATACGTAGTGTTCCAATAAATTAATTTTAGTGTTAATAGAATAATAGAATAACGGCACGGCAAAAATTAAGGCTTATAATTCTTTATTTATCTATACATTTTAGTGTCCCTCATCAATGGTCATGACGTCGGTGTCGGGCTCGTAGTCCCAGTCGAGTTCGCGCGTGCGCACGATCTGCTTGTACACGAAGGCTGACTTGCGCGGCGTGCGCGTGCGCTTGAGACTCTCGTAGTCTACCTCATACAGGCCAAAACATTCACTAAGAAGAGAAAAAAAAACATTATTTAAAAATATTGAAACTCTTTACCGCTTTAAATAGAGAAAATAAAGAAAACGAACGTGTATCCTTGCATCCACTCGAAATTATCCATTAGACTCCAAGCCGTGTACGCTCTAATATCAGATCCGTCGTCAATGGCATCCAGCATTGCATTAATGTATCCTTTGTAGTACGTTACGCGATCATCATCATTCAGTCCACCATAAGTAGCAAAGCCGTTTTCAGTTATAATAACTGGAGGATTATTGTACTCTCTCCTAATTTTTGTTAAAAGCTTGTGTAAGCCCCACGGTACATACTGTAAGCACATTATAAATATTAAAGATAATAAAATGAACCAAATACACATTCACAGCGAATTTTAGCAAGAAAAAGAAAATGATAAAAAATATTATGACTTGCATTGCTTGGACGTAAATAAAATTAAAAATACAAAAGTAAAATATTGTCAATCAGGTTACGATATAATTTGTTATGTAGTGACTGCGTAAAAGAATTCACTACCCCATATAATTGCGTGGGTATTGCTATATACCCATATAAGGCAATCTATATTCAACAGTGAACTTTCTTTTACAATTATATAATACTGCCTGTAAAAAAAAGGTTAAGCACGTTACTGCAATCATTAGTTGACTTTCGTAGTTTAGCATAATACACCTTGTCATTTAATTAACTATACATTCTACGTACGCAAATGCAACTATCGAAAAGTTCATTACCTTCGTAAATTCAGACTCGCCAATTTTCCATTCGCTTTTCTGGTAAGTTAAGGCTTCTACATCGTCGCCAAACGACGGAGATTCGTAATAACCATACACGGATTCGTTTCTGTATACCAACCGCGTTGTGTAATGATTTAGTCCGAAATAATCCGAGCTACCGCGTATGTATTCAACTTCTTCAGGAGTGAATTCAGGAAGCCTAGACCTAGGATAGCCTTGAGCTGCACTTTTAGCTGCTATTTTTGTTTTCACTGAAGGTGGAAAGTCACCCGTCTCCGAGAATACAGGATGAACGTATTGTCCCCACTAAAAATATTAAAAAAAATATTACTCAGTTTAATTTTATATCTACAAGCCCAAAATAAAATAGATTTTTATTTAAAAGAATTAAAATATATAAATAGTAAACTATATGTCACAGATTTATAGTAAAATCAGTTCTTTGATCAAATACCTAGGCTTTTGTTTCAACACCGAAAAAAAGATAAAGCTATGACTTAATCTTATCATTAACCTGAACAAATCCTTTTTTCCTTAAATAAAAAACCCTGAAGTTGTCTAGGTTTGTGATTAAATTCAAGCTAAGGTTATGTCAGGTCTGCTTATTTGTCCCCGATCATTCTCGCTGGTTCGGCGACAGTATGTATTTAATATCTTCAGGAGTGAATTCAGGAAGCCTAGCATTGAGTTGCACTTTTAACTGCTATCTTTTTTATAGGAGGTGGAAAGTCGCACGTGACCGAGAATACGGAATGAGTGTTCAATTTTATACTTACAAGACCAAAAATAAAATACTTTTTGGTCCAAAAGAATTTAAATAAAATATTTAAAATTCTCTTTGAAGTTTTATTTGTCTATATAACGACAATGTTTCCATTGCTATCCTATATTGCATTGATATTGATATAGTACTTCAATACAGATGAGAGCGAATGAAAAATTGTTGTTATGCAATATATGACATGTTCATAAAAGCAATGTTTGTGTTAGCTAGCAGAGATTAGATTTTTACCTGAAAATCGTTGTATTCATTTGCAGCTTCAGTGTCATTTTCAGATGCCGGTTCATACCACTGAGCGCTGTATGACATAAAAATATCACCTTCTTGTTTTGATCTAAACTCCTCATCATATATATGATAAGCTCTAGCGTGAGCTAAGAGCAAGTTTTTGGCGCACATGTACTCCGCCACGCCTTTGATATCAAGCATTGGTGCCTTTACAGTGTCACCGTAACCCTGATTACAAACTTGATAGGCCTCATTTATAGTGATCCAGTATTTAACTCTATCACCGAAAAGCTGGAATGCTGTTCTTACATAGTCACCAAACCAATCGACAATATTTGGATTAGTCCAGCCACCCATTTCTTGAAGTTTCTGTGGTAAATCCCAGTGATAAAGAGTAATCATTGGTTGTATATTATATTTAAGCATTTCATCGATTAAATTGTTATAGTATTGAACACCTGCTTCATTTATTTTATCAGGGAAACTTGTGGGCAAAATTCGTGGCCATGATAGTGAGAATCTGTAAAAATCAAGTCCTAACTCTCGCATCATTTCCACGTCGCGTTTGTACAAATGGTAAGAGTCGTCAGCGATGTCCCCATTAGAACAATTCTTGATGATGCAGGGCTGGGTATGTGTTAAATGATCCCATATGTTTTCCGCCTTCCCTACAAGAGGAAAAAATATTATCCAAAATTTGGAAAAAATATTTTGAGTATTTTGAAAAAAAAAAAGATATGTTTACCATCTTCGTTCCATGCTCCTTCTACTTGATAAGAGGCAGTAGCAGTTCCAAATATAAATCCATCCGGAAATTTCCTTACATCCCGTCGAATATTGTGATTTTTACATTCATATGATACCAGACTTGTTACAATAAAACTGTAAAAAATGTACTTATTCCTTGGCTTCATTTAAGCCTATAAAAATCTCTTACGCGCTTAATATAATTGTTACAAAATATTATATTTTTAAAAATCCGCTGCTTTATAATGATTTTCAAAATTCAACAAAATAACATACATAGACATTAAGTTTAAAGATACATTTCTATTCGGCATTTCATTTCTATAAGGTTATTTCATTTTAATATTTCTTGAAATGAAATAGCATCGCTCTTATTTTTATTTATTAATACATGTGCAGTAAATTTCTTTTGTGGAAATTCACCACTTAACAAATAGGAAATAATTTGATTTAAAACGTGTATTAATTAATAGTAAAATAATGAAATTCATCTATACTTATTTTATTCATCTATACCCATTTTTACAAATATGTTGTATTACAAATCATTAAAGTTTTAGTTTAAGATACATTTTAGAAATTGAATAGTTTAAAATTAAATTTTAAATTTAAATTCAATTTCAATAAATTATTAAGTAACAAACTATTAATAAAATAAGAAAATGACTTACAGAAAAACAATTTTACATAACATTTCTATTTCCTTTTATCTTGATATGTGTAATATATTTAATATCAACACGCGCTTATATTTAACTGTATCAGTGACATTGGTGTCTTAAACAATCAACTCAAAATATCTCAAAGTAATTCCATATTTCAAAGATTATCTAAAGGAGCTACCTATCGCACTCGATAAAAAGAATGTCGCTAAATAAACAACGTGAACCGATCACTATTTTACTTGCTTCATATTTTAAGTGCTTTACTTACTTCAACTTTTGTCAAACATAATTTATCGATATCCGTTTCACTCTTAAAATCGTAACTCAATATTAGCTTCTGAAACCAAATCCACTCCTTCGATCACCATTAGATTCTAAAACGAAATTCCTGTTGACGTTAAAAAAGCACTCAACAAGGTTTGTTTTTAAAAATAAAGTCCGTGAACACGTTAAAGATCGTTGCGAGTTTCAAATTATAACAATTTGATACGAACTGTAAATAAATTATAGGTAAAAAAGTAAAGTAGCAGCTTACATATATCTTACGACTGTGCACACGGCTCAGCATCACTTTATCTGTTTTTCTGTCTGTGAATTCACTATTTACGCAAAAACTACTGGACTGATTGCCAAGAAATTTCGTATAGTTGCGCGCCTAAGTTGACGTCTGGCACCAGCGCCATCTAAGTCGGGTAACAGAGCGAGGAGAGCTTTCCAAAAAATGACATCACTAATCTTTTAACCGACAGCGCCATCTAGTATAGAAAAGGGTAGATAGCGTGCGTTCGTTCAAGTAACATTAGCTCTGTAAAATTATTTGCTTAAAAATAGTATTTATGAGTTATTTTATCTAAAAGTTATTACAATCAGTGCATTTTGATACAATTGAGCTGTGAAAGTGTTTTCAACGAATATTGTCGTGTTTGTGTGTGAATACTTTGTGATAATTAGCTGAAAAATATTTAATCGAATAATTGTATTTTGTTTTGGAACAAGACTCTAATCGAAGTTGTAAGTATTAGTCCTGGACTGTTAAATTCAAGTGAAATTCAAAATCTGATCGAGGAAGATAATATTACAAAAGTTATCCTTTCTGGTGACCGTTAAATTAAGTTTGAATCCTTTCAAATTTATTTGTTTGAAACAACGCCATCTAGAATCATTTATAGACATTTGTTACTAAACCGATCAGATCACAAGTCGATAAAGTCATCGTTTTCATTTGAGTTGCATACGTGGAGGAAGGGATGGCGCCACTAGTACCAAGTAAAATTCAATGCAATGGTTGTTCGCAAGAAATAACCGACAAGCAATATTTAAAATGTCATGTTTGTTGTAAATATTATGATCTTCCTTGCAACGTGTCAGAAAAGCGGTTTTATATTATGTCAGCAGATAATAAGAAAAACTGGAAATGTCAGGAATTTAGAAGCAATGAACCTAAGACTGACAATACCAACACACCAATAAAACACAACCTGCAATTGTCACCAAATAGCAACCAAGACATCGGACGTACAAATGTAACTCTGCGTAGTCGCACGAATGAAAAGCTGAAATCTACGGCCATTTCAACATCCGCATCATAAACACCTGATTTGCCAACTAGTGATCTAGCAAATGAATTAAAACTATTACGCCAAGACATCAAAGAAATGCGTAATGATATGCAAGAGTTTAGGGAAACGATGATCAACCTGCTTACCGCAATAAATACGTGCAATCAGCGACTTGACTGCCTGGAGGCACGAATGGAAGTGGTGGAGAAAAATTCGCAGATAAAGACGTCCAATGACATATCATTTTGCGAGAAAATAATTACAGATCTCAAAATTGAGCTTAATGACCGTGACCAGGAACTCTTAGGCAATGATATCGAGGTCTCGGGAATACCCGAAGACAAAAATGAACGTTCTACACATATTGTTTTGGCAGTTGCAACTAAATTAGGTGTAGCGCTAGAAGATCGCGATATAGTAAGATAAAGACGTCCAATGACATATCATTTTTCGAGAAAACAATTACAGATCTCAAAATTGAGCTTAATGACCGTGACCAGGACCTCTTAAGCAATGATATCGAGGTCTCAGGAATACCCGAAGACAAAAATGAACGTTCTACACATATTGTTTTGGCAGTTGCAACTAAATTAGGTGTAGCGCTAGAAGATCGCGATATAGTAAGTGCAGAGCATGCCGGCCTTTTGCGGCATGAGCAGAATGAGACATCTAGGCCGCCTCCCATCGTAGTGCGGCTGGCACGCCGTGTCCTTCGCGATAGTCTGCTAGCAGCGGCGCGAGTCCGTCTGAGTCTGTCCCTTCTATGTGAATGAAAGGCTAACCAGACATAATCGTCAACTATTTTATAAAGTACGTACAGAGAAGCGAAACGCAAAAATTGGAAGTATGTCTGGACACGGCAAGTTAAAGTTTTTGCTAGAAGAGAAAGCGGTGAGCCCCATCATCAAGTGCGCTTTGAAAGCGACTTAATTAAAGTTTTTGGGCAATAGTATTGTACGGTCCTAAATATGATGTCATTTTTAATGCTAATCATTTTTCCATTGTAACGGTTCCCCCCCTCTCATAATAATTATATATATTTGTGACCAAGATTAATAAAATATGTTTTGATCTTTCTAAATGATCTTTCAAAAGGTTTATTAATAGGCCGGTTTTAATATTTTGGCGTGATCGTCTTAGTTAGGACCCTTATTTACGTTGTGTTTGCTTAGTAACTTAGTTCTTTTAGGTGTCTTTTGGAAGAATGAATATTCACTAGAGCAATTGAAAGCTGTTGGTAGTGCCTTATAAGCTAAGTGAACCCCGTTCACGAAGACAGGGCTCGAAAAAAGGTTAAGAACATAAAACGTCCCTATTCCACTTGCATCAGGTTTACATTATTAATTATCCCTTCCCGCTCGGAAAAGGCTCAAAATATATTTATACAAAATACCCGATACAAGGGCTTCGCTCTCCTACATTTATTTAAAAAAATGTAGGGGAGGTACACGGCCCCACACACGCCGTGCACGGTGAGTGCCAACCATTTTGATGCACTCCCCCCCCGAAGGGAAAGTTAATTCGGGAACTGGACCGTAGTCCACAGCAAAATAACTGGCGAACCAGTAAAAGAGGCTTGGCCCCTTGCTAGTGCGTAAGCACAAACATCGACCGAAGTCGCGCATGTCAATGCGTGTAAACGCCAAACAGAATACAAACGAATCCAGCCACAGTGAATGTACGTCACACGGTTTAGGCAAATAGGCACACTGGCCGTAAACCCTCCGTGAGCGCCACCACCTGCCAGACCGCCGCTCCTGCAGACGTGATGTAAGTGTATGGCATCACCACCAATTGCATGATCAGCACGGCTACTAGCCGCAGAGCGTGTCATAAGTCTACTGCTCACCTCAAGGGAATGGGGTCCCACGTTGTGCGGTTTTCGGCCGCAGCCTTGAGAGTCTCCTCAGATCCTCCCGCCAGCTACCACCCGCATGAGGTCGACACATATGCTCCACCAACCAATACAACGGCAGATATAGCCAAAAGGCAGTTATAAGATAAGAGTAATAATTCGCCATCAGAAAGGGTTTGTGTCACTGACGTTGAGTAAATGCATTTTCGATCATGTTTGTCTCACCCACCGACAAGTTGCCTTCAATCATTCAAAGGTGGGAAAGTTACAGAGATATAATATTATGTTGTTATATAAAACATCGTGGAGGGCAGACAGTCTGCAGCCCCGTAATGAAGGGACCCGACTTGGGCAAAGCTACTTAGGTGTGAGTCAAACCAAGACGCAGAGAGCGCCATTGAGAATAGCGTCCCACCAAACAACCATCGCAGAGACGCAATGCTGCAGAACGCAACAAGCATCATTACGACTATCGTCGGGCTTACACCATCCCAAGGTCCCCCATACATCCCAGCAGACATCACCACCCGCATACCTCCATCGACCAGAACCACAAGAGAGCGTCGAATCAGGCGCATCAAACCCGCAGATCCATCACAAGACGCAATACCGCAAGTAGCAGTAAGCATCAAAGCAACTATCATACGGGTGGCACCCCCTCACAACACACCCACATGACTCTTATCGACTTTGGTAACAAAGTTGGTATTGTTGTTATATAAAAAA